GGTACAGCAACTGTGGCGACGGGACGTAACGTCTCCGTTCCCTCCTTCAGGTAACGAGGGTTACACAAGTAACCGAGACGTTTTTTATTCCCAGAACGTTAATCTAACGTTCCCCTAACGTTAGTTTTTGGTTCCCAGAACGTTATTATCTTGTTTATATACATTTTATTCCCCCAAAAATTGTGAAAATATAGTGTTTTCTGTCCGTTCCAAGCATTTTCTGAATTATGAAGTGACAAAAATTTGATCAAAATTCCCTCTGTAAAAACTTTTGACTCTAATATGTCAAAAAAATTAAACAAAAATTTTGAAACTGACATAATCCAGTGTTTAGATTTTTTTACTAAAAATGTATCCAAATAGCGCATATTTCATTAAATAATGATTCATTTGCATATTTAAACCTAACATTTTAGAAAACTTGTAATACAAAAATGTTTTGCAATTATCAATGTAATCAATCAGCTGGGTAAGTAAGGCGATAACTATTAGTTATTTTTTTTACCCTATTCACCTGCAGTGTCTTGCCTTAAATGAAGAATTATGTTACAATAGCTTAGAGACCCCGAGCAAAAATATTACACTACACTGCAAAACAATCACTTATCTGAATGCATGTCTACCTTATGTTAAAACAGAAGGATTGAGTTTGAATAATATCTGCCAACTGGGTTTTGATAAGGCCTATATCAATACGTACATAATATCAGTTATAATATATCAACGTATTAATTTTATTTTTACATTTAAACACTGGGTTTTCATAAAGAACGAACAGTCAATCTCAAAACATGAGGAAACATTGAAAGAAAACATGAGGGCTAAGCCTTTAAAACCATACTGAGCAAATTAAGCACATTTTTCTTGTGGGTCTCATTATTCTGGACAGAGCTGGATGTATCACCCCATTTCTCACTGTCACTGAACAATACACAACCATGACAACCTAACAAGCGTGCTGGGGATGAGAGTGTCTTCTGACGGTCTGATAATAAAATCATCCCTGTGCACTCACTCCTGTAGTACAATGCTTCAGACTAGAGCCAGGCACAAGAAAGTCACACTCCAACAGTGACACAAAAACCAAAGTTTCGAAGAACATACTTGAAAACATATATGTTGGGGGAAAAAAATGTATGTATTTCCAAACAATAACATGTGTATACATTCCATATGTATTCAGCTGTTGTTCAGCACAGACGCATTGGGAATATCAGTCAAGTACAATAAAATCAATCTTTTTCCAGTTTTGCCAGTTCTTCAGAGAGTACACTGAATAATGATTTTCTTGCTTGAGAGAATATACAGATGTCTTTCGATATCTGCTTCGTCATGCCTAGAGCTGATCCGTGCTGGTCGCTGAGGGAATACATCAACTTAGTGCTGTGGATATGGAGGACTGTTTCCTGATCCTGGTAGAGTAGACTACAATGCCGGCAGTTCTGACTCCCAGACTGTAAGTACGTTTTCATTTAAAGGCGATTCAAATCGGCCACTGACGATTCAAACGCGAGTTTTGGGCAGTATATATATATATAAAAGAATGAAAAATTACTTGACTTATAAAGTAGGATATTAGTACATTCATTTCTTACCACTGAAGTGTAGTTGTGCAGCGGGACCTTCTTTTGATCCGTAAACAATAACCTCTCGCTTAACACCATGTTCTCTTCAGTTAGGCATTTTAAATCCCTCCGAAATCATATTTACTCTCAGAAATATATTAATTTTAAGAAACCATTCAATAAAGAGATCGATAAACGAGCGAGTCAATCAGCCAGTAAAACGAAAAATGACCGTTCATTTTTAAATTCTGCGAGCGCGCGGCTCTCTGTGTAACACAGGTGAAAGCGCGTTGTTCTCTTCAGTTAGGCATTTTAAATCCCTCTGAAATAAATGTACTCTCATAAATATATACATTTTAAGTAATCATTCAATAAAGAGATCGATAAACGAGCGAGTCAATCAGCCAGTAAAACGAAAAATGACCGTTCATTTTTAAATTCTGCGAGCGCGCGGCTCTCTGTGCTGGAGAAGCGCGTGCAGATCAGAGGCGCGCAGTAAATGAAGATAAAACAAACCCACGAATTTATGATTTCTTATAGCTTAACCCTGGCTTAATATTATAATTTAAATCGCGTTTTGATTGATCTAATTTCGGTATTTTAATAAATGCTGCATTAAACGAATTTCAGGGCTCTGTATAGGTCATTACACATTAACATCTGCGACGTTTTCATTAAAGATAGTTTTACAGGGTTATAAAAATAACCTGAGAAT